GCTGTGTTAAAACTGTTAGTCCATTAGACTCCCGTACTGCCTATCTTACACTAATTCGTTATTGCTTATCCCCTCAATTTTAGAGTCGCAATATTACAATTAAAGATAAGCATTTATTTTGCACATCCTTAAATGCATACAGATATCTCGGCCTGGCCACAACATGCTCATGTTTTCTGTCTCTTCTGCAAATCATATCCCGGCTGGCTCTGGTCCACTGCTGCTCAGTCTTCTGGCAGCATCTCGGACAGGGGGAGGGAGCAGAAGCTGCAGGAGACTTTTATGGTTCCAGCTCCAGAGGCAACCTGCTCACAGGCACCTCTCTGCTGGCACTCGTTTATGACATCATAAATCCCCTCCCCTCCATTTTCTCTGACCAACTCTAGGTGGGTACGTAGAAGGTACCTGTCCGTTTGTCTGGCTCCCTCGTCAGATTCATCACGCTGCTGGTGATTTCCTGCACAGGCAGGTTCTCAGATCATCTAAAGACGCTCAGATCCTCAGGGTTAACCAGTAGAAACAACTGTTTGAATGACGAGTGACGGAGGGGTTTTCCAGCAATTTTCATTTTCAACAAGGATATTTTCCTCTTTGACTTACAGGCGAGAGTCGGCGTAACGCGATAGGAACTTTGTATCCGCGCACACTTGAGCCCATCAACGACAGCTCGGTCTGAGACGTGTCGATGCCTTTTGTTTGCGGAAGTTTTGGGGAACGAAGGGCAGAAAAAAAGGGATTAGAGAAAGAAAAAGAAAATTTTGGGGGGGTTGCGGGGGGTAAAGGGAGACGCGTCAGGAACCTTCATCGCTCACATTCATTTGACGCTCTGCACCGCTGGCCCCAGGGAGGCTGGAACAATAGACGCACCAGCATGACAACATTCCTTAAGGTTAAAAAGGGCAGGGGTCACCCGGTGACCCCACCCTGCCAATCAGTGGCAGGGCACTAACTCAGTGCCTCTTTTGCTTTATGTCTTTGCACTTGTTGAACAGACTCTGCACCTTGTGTTACAACGTGCCCTTTGCTCTCTAATAGACTAAGACGGCCCGGATCACTTTTAGTCGTCTAATGCGTTTTAAATCAGTTTTAGTCTACATGGTAAGAGCTGGACCAGTGCAATCGGCCAGACATTGGAAAGATTGGAGTCAACTTGATTGATTTCGATTCTTGTACGTTTTAAATAAAAAAAAAAATCAGATTTTTTTTTCCTACTCGTTCAATGCATCAATACTACAAAGAACAACCATTTTTGACCTCTAAGTGCACTGAAACACTTGCTCCAACTGGGGAAAATGTCATAATTTCTCCATTTTTGTTGGATTCAAAGCTCCTACCTCCATCAAACAATCAGCTGAATGTTTTTTTTTTTTTTCCCTGCGTTGTGCATTATAGTTACCAGGAAAAACCAATGGGAATCGGTCTAAATGGGATCCAGCAGGTCAAAGATCAAAGGGGGGCAGGAGGGGAATGGGCAAGTTCAAGAAAAAAAAATCTGGTCTGCTCAAAATAGCAGTTCAAACTTTCAGGGAAGAGTGCATTTACTTACAGCATAAAACTGAGAAAAAGTATGCTAGGTGCAGAAGAATGTGCACGTTTACAGGCTTGGCAGTATATTTCCTAAATAGCGTCTGCAGCTTATACTGAATACAATAACCCAACCAGATGTTTCGCAAAGCCAGATCTAAATGTGGTAGAAAAGACCCACCACAGAGCAGCATGGCTGTAATTATTGGACATATTTAAAGAACAGATGCATGCCTGTTTATATTATTATCCCACCAGGGTCAATGATTAATCCAACAAGAGAACTCTGGGTCTTAAATGCTGTATTTATTATTTTTTTTTTCCCCAAATCCTATATAAAAACTTCATGTTCATTTCACTACAGCACATTTCCAGTGAAGGCTTGGCAGCTATTAAAATGGAGCATATGTATGTGTAGGCATAGCGCTGCTTGAGAGAGCCCTACAGGCAGACTGCGGGTCTGTTAGTAATTACGAGTGAACGTACAGTATACACTGCAGTGGACATTAAAGTCCACATCGGACCACCCCAGAGAGACACCACTGGCACTTCCTCTGCCAACTTCCTTTGCTCGGCCTCGAGGGGAGCCTGCTTTGGGGTTTCCGGGGGATTCACCGAACGTTAGTTGCCCTTCGAAGAGAGAGAAATTTCTGTAGGTTCACAGAAAAGGATGTTTTCTTGTTGTTTTTGAAAAAATCGAGTTTTCTGTCTCGCATATTTCGCTCTTACGTCTGCTCCGCTTTTCCTCCAAGGCGTTATCTCTTCAGTTGCCACATTTTTAGCTCGCGTCACACTGGTTTTGGATCATTCTTGGTGGGGCAGTGGCGCCCCCCCAACCCCTCCCGACCAACCTAACCTCTGCCCGTAAAGACCACAAATCCACAGCATTTCATCCCGCACAATAAATCCGCTTACAGTCGAGAAAAGGAGACAGCGCTCTCTATTAGTCTGCAGTTAGAAATGAAAGCCTATCTGGCTGCAGCTGTGGAGGTTCTCCAAAGATGGGGACGTTTATTGTCGGGAACAAATAGAGGCCTTTTTATTTTGTCTAGCAGCTGACGCCTCTCCCCACCCACTCCTCTAAAACCGCTTTTGTCAGTAATGTAGAGTGGGCTGCTCAGGCAAGACTGAGAGACCATGAGAGTTTCCAAGAAGGGGAAAAAAAAAAATAAAAAATGAAGCACGGGGTTCGCTGGTGATAGACTTGAGGGGGGAAAGAGCCGGCTGTTTGCCATATGGGATAATTATCTGCTATTTTAAAAGATTATCTCCCATAAGTATGGCGTTTAAATGTATATCAGAAGGTATATATCAATATATGTGTGTGTGTGTGTGTGTGTGTGTGTGTGTGTGTGTGTGTGTGTGTGTGTGTGTGATTTGAGCTCTGGTTTTTAACCTCCATGTAATGCGGAGACTCTTTGCCCCCCCCCCTTCTCTCCTCTTAAACTGTGTTAGCCATGATCTGCCCCCCTAACCTCTCTAACCTCAATCCCTTCCTCCTCTGTAAGCCCCTCCTGCACACGCACACACACACACGCACACACACTCATATATACCCAGGCAGTCTCTCCCCACAAAAGAAATATTCAGCTGTAGAGAGGGGGTCCCTTCAGAGGGCGCGACATTGAACTGGGATTGGGGCGCGGGGGGATTAAGAAGAAATGGATGGCTGACACTGGGGTTGCCATGGCAAAGCCCTCTTTTCCCCTCTCCGCCGACCCTCTGCCTATTTTTCATTTCGCGTCTCATTGTGGGGCGAGGTGTAAGTGTGTGCGCGCTTGTGACTGTGATGGAGTGGGGAAGATGTAATAAGGCATATGATTTTGGTCTCTTATCTGAGGCCCCGGCGGAACAGACACTTCCACCTCGGGGGTACGCAGTCAAGAAAGTATGTTTACAAGGGGCCTGTGAATATCGTACTGTATTTCCTTGAGATTATTTACAAACCAGCCAGTGTTTCCCCCTTTCCGAGGGTGTTGCACGTCTGCAGACAAAAGCGTGAAAGAACGCAGAGGCCGTAAATCAAAGACCCTGCACACTCGCAAGACAAAAAACCATTTTGTCTGTTTTATTGCTTTCTGAATTACAGCTCCAATGATGTGACACATTAGTCATCCATTGTAGCCGGTGTCTTATCACGCCACAGCGCTACCTCCCGTACCCCGCCAGAGTAATGGATGCAGGTCTGGCTTGCATAATGACATCAGCAGCCTGGAGCTGATGAAATAAGGCGATGGATGACCGTAGATCAGCATTTGTCATTCTGATGTCAGTCCGCCTCCCCCTCCACGCAGCCAGCAGTGGTGAGACGACACTGTCGAGAGTTGTTTGGCCCCGCTCCTGACAATGGCAGCTCCTGGTCTGAGAAGGGGCCACGCCGCAGAGGGGGTCCGAAAGAAGCTGGGCCGCACAGTTGGACGTCGGTATTGTTCTCTGTGCTGGATGTCCACGGATTTGAAAATGGCTCAGTAACCATTAGCGGAGCGATGTCAGACTAAAGTAGGGGTTGTCAGGATGACAAAAAAAAAAAAAAAGCAGTTCTTACTTTTTGTAGTTTTTTAGAAACTTTTTGAATTTAAAGGTCAGTTCACTCAAAGAACACAATGCTAGTTTAAAATGGTAAAGAAGGATAAAGAGTTTTGTTCCAGAAAGGTTGCCCACTGCATCCACTTATAAAGGAGATACTTTATGATGACAAAAAAAAATAATACTCTAATATTATTTCAATCAATTAATTTGTTTTCCCATATTAATCGATAGGAATAATATTAATGTTTTAAACTGGCCTCACTTGAATCTGATAGACAATCTGTAGAGCAACCTAAAGATTAGGGCCATGGTACAGAGAATTGGAGCTCATCTAGAAAGCGAATTAAATAAAATACCAGAGGAAATGTGCAAAAGGATGATTGTTAGAATGCAAGTAATTTTTTTCCCCATTTGTTAAGAAGTATATAAATAATTTGAAGCAAATTTTTAGATAATTTAATCATGTTTTGAGGGAATGTGTCCACCGTTTCTTAGCAGAGACTAACTTTGCACCAACTAAAAATCTAAATGTGCCGGTGGTGTGAATACTTTTGGGCCTGTCTTTTACACTAACCTGGATGCTTTGGAAAAAGTAGATTTTCTACTTTGTTTCACTTTTCAAATTGGAGATACGTACTGATCAGGTATCTGAGGATGACATAACAAAACCCTGACACAAGAGGTCACTCTGTAAACCCTGACTTTTAATTTCTGTGCCACAAACCACATAAACACTCAAGCTGTTTTTATGGGGCCTGAAATCTTTCTCCCTTCGTCCTGACTCTGTTTCGTTTAAAGTTCAAACGTAAGCTGGAGAAGTGAAGTAAACGGCAATCTAAGATTGTTTTGGAAAAAACCTCTGACCCCATCACAGCTTTAGCCATGTTCAGGCTTTTCCTTTTGCTGGCGTGTCATCGCTAACCGTCTCATATTCGTGTGTGTTTCAGATGCTGCTGCAGCGCGTTTTTAACCCCGAAGAGGAAAGACTTCAGTTTCTGGCGATTACAAGATGGTATTCTGCAATAAAGCAGATTCTCAAAGCTCATATCCGAGCTTAAACGCACCTCGTTATACTCTGTGTGTATAACATGATCAGAACTGTCAGTGCCCCAAGGACAGGACACTCTCTGCCACTGTCTTGTGTCATTATATCCCCCCTGTTGTGCAACCTGACCTCTTTGGTCTTGCCCGAGTCTCTATCCTCCTCCCCCCCCTCCTCTTCTTCTTCCTCCTCTTCCTCCTCTGCGCCCTGCCTTCTCTGTCACATCGGCTCAGGGTCAGGGCCGCCGCCCCGCCTGCCTCGGCGAACATTCAACGCTGTCGGTGAGTTTGGTTTGAGTAGCACATAAACCATCGACCGTTGACTGTGCCCCGTGGCTTGCTCTGGCGATGTCAAATCGGAGCAAAAAACGGAAAAAAAAAATGGGGGGGGGAAAGACCAAAAAACGAACAAAAGGGCAAGTGGGCGCCACATGCAAATGCAGAGATGGAAACCACATGCGCACATGCTCATAAGTGCCACTTTGTGTTCGCTGTACCCAAAGACCAAAGGTCACAATCAACATTCATTGCTGTCGCTGGGTTGGACTCTGTAAGAAAGCTCACTGAACAATGAGTGCAACTGTGGCCCAGATCTGCCTGACTCGCGTCTCAGCCAATCAGACGACCGGATGTGAAGCACTCTGATTTCTTTATTTATGTACTTCTTGTTTTTCACTTCTATTTTTTCCCCTCTCTTCCTCCCTCTCCGGTGCCGGGAGTTTTCAGAGGAGGAAGGCAGAGAGATAGGTGGCACAAATAGACTTCTGGCTGCCTGCTTGTCCTCAGCCTCCTCTTCTCTCCTCTAATTGATGGTTATGTGTGCAGCATGGGGGAAGGAAGCCGAGTGAATGTGTAATCATTTGGAGTCTCTTCTCCTTTAGATGTTTCATCCCTCTCTTTTTTGTTTGTCTAATTATACGCTGAGCTCAGTTAACTGTGTGTCTGCGCTGGCAGGGAAGGCAGATTTGCGAAAAAGGGAGGACAATTGAGGGGAAAAAGGAAGATTACAGCTTTAGAAAAAAGAAATAGATTTAGTTTTGAGTTTATTTTTCATAATAATTCTCCTGGTGCCCATGGAAATGTGTTTGAATAAAAGCAATTTTGCAGCGTAAGAGGAAGAGTATTTCCACCTTTTTGATAAAAGATGCCTCGTTATCTGTATTTAAACGTCTTGGAGTTCTACCTACCAGTCCCAGAGTGCAAGTGCTCTCTACGTTAGAGGACGCGTCTGCTCGTCTCAGGGTGTAATATGTTATTTTACTTCAACACTGACGCTAACGCTCTCGTGGGGAAACATAAAGTCAATAACCCTGTCTCTCTTCACAGTCTGTGACCCACCTTATTGCTGCCGTCTGTGAAACCTCTCACTGTCCTGTATCAGTTATTCACACGCTGCTGAAACCAAATGTACACACACTCTGTTGAAAAAGATGAAACCTTTATTTCTCTCAGTTTGAAAAGCAACAACAAAAAGAAAATTGCAAAATCTAGTTCTTATTATATATATATATTTTTTTTTAAGTTTGGTGGATTTCTGGCCCATGTGGTGTAACTCAGTCAGGTTTGCAGGCTGAGATCAGAGCTTTATGATGGCCACAATAAATTAAACTGCTTTGTAACCAACTTAATGGTACATTGCCCGTTTTGAGGATCGATTTCGGTCCAAAATATGCCCTTTTCAATATTTCCACTTGAAGTTGTTGCCTCATAACGCTATCTAATTTAGGAAGTGACCAGTTCCTCCTGTAGCAAGCTTCCTCCCACAAGCTTTTCCTTTTTTTTTATTGAAGTGCAATTTAGTTTCATAAGACTACCGGACATGTCTCCAAAAAATAAAAGTCTTGGTGTCTGAGTGATTTTACAAACTGCAATCTGGCTTTTTACGTTGCTCCTGGAATAACGGCTTCTTCCTCTCTGAGTGGACTTGTGTTACGCTGACTAAAGACAACAATGTTGTCTTTTTTACAATGTTTTCTACTTTTGTTTTTGGGGTTCTTGGCTAGCTTCCTTTGATCGTTCCATGGTGTCAAAAAAGGTAAACTCAAATTGTTTAAAGTTATAGCAATCTGTGTCTAAACTCCTGACTTTGACGAAACCAACAAAAAAAAATACCCTTTAAAAAAATTGGAAATTTATCAAAAGGAAATAATTTAGATAATTTTAACTGACCAGGAAGAGTTTGTTTTATTTTTCTGAAGACTGCAGGGGCATAAAATGACTAAACGTCTCTTTACTCAGAGTATGTACATATCTGGTTTTCAGCTGCGTTTGTCGTTTTATTCTCTCAACAACGTTTCTTCAGTGATTTCCTGACTAAGCCAATAAAGTTCAATCCAGACCAATTTATCAGTGTTTGATGTGTGTTTTTGCCGCCCGAATTACACGATTAAGCCACGCGGAGTATTCTCTCATGTCTCCACCGCTCCTTCTCCAAAGTGCTTTTTCTGTCATTTAGTAACCAAGCCCCATGTCCGTGTCCCCGTCTCCCAAGTCTCCCTGTATTATTCATAGAAAAGCACTCTGTGCAGTGGTGCAGAAGAGTGGAGGTGATGTAACAGCGGCTGGGAGCGTCGCTTCGGACTGTCATCTGGGATGAATTCATGCGACAGGCAGAAAATTTCAAGTTGGTTCAGCTTTGTTGACGCTGCCAACAACTATCAAAACGCGGTTGTATTTATTTATTTACTTTTCTTCGTTCTTGGTCCGATTCCTGTGAGATGTCCCCTTTGATTAAACGTAGGAGGTCACGTTTGGATCGTCTGTCCTCAAGCTAAAAAAGTTTAGGTGTTAGAAGTGAACGAAATGGGGTGGAAATGCGAGTGGAAAGTTCACATGACGGTTTAATGAAGCGTCACAGTGCGGCAGAAGAATATGAGGGGCCCCTCATAGAAGAACGTTCTCGCAGCAACTTCAAATTTATTTGAAGACGCCACAGGTCTTTGAAGAGCTGTTACTGCCATCTAGTGTTGAGTCTTTTACACGACTTCCTATGTATTTAACAAACGGAATGAAAAAAAAAGTAACCTATAATCATTATACCTTATAATTTATTTAGTTTTTTTCCCTATATTTTCGAACATCCCAAGACTTTAATTAATTTAAAATGTTCATATTCATACGTCCATTGAAGGGCATTACATGCAAAAAAGCTGATGTTAATGGTTTTTTTTTTCACATTATAACACATTTGAATGTATCCCACTGCATTCTCGCTTATATAAATGTGAAGTGCAATGAAAAATTATGGATTTCTAAAATTTTTTGTTTTTACCATCTTAGATCTGAAAAGTGTGATGTGCATTCTGACTCAAATATCCTTTAATCTAAACCACTTCATTTTTGCTCTGGTTGTGTGATTCGGGCTATTCTCCTGAAAGGTGAACTTTCACCTCATTTTCAAGTATTTTGAAACTCAGCCGAAATCCCATTAGAATTTCTTTTAGGATTTTCTTCCTGCATTTAGCTCCATCCCTCTTCCTGTCAACATTGATCAGTTCTCGAGTCAGCAGCATCTCCACAGCATGATGCTGCCACCACTGAGTTTCACAGTGGGGCGTGGTGATCTTAGGTTGATGCGCAGCTTTAGAGTTTGGGTTTTCTCTTGGCAATTTTCAATAAATACAAGGTTTGTAGAGTGAACAGTTAGGTTTGGGTTTAATGTATGATGGATAATCAGAGCTCTTTGATGTTTAAAGTTTGGGATATTGTTATTCAAACCAACCTTTAATTGTTTTCCCATTGGTCTTCATGATGCTTTTTATTTTGCTTGATTATTATGTTCGCTACCTTGAAGGCCTTTTCAGGACAGCTTGGTTTTATACTGAGATTAAATTGAACAAAAATTAAATGTGTAATTTCTGAAGGCAATTTGTCGCAAGGGATTTAATTTTGGGGATTTCAAGTAAAGAGAGGTCGAGACAAGTATGTTTCATGCTGTTCACCTGGGAACAGTTTGCAAATTATGTATCACTTTCCGACCAACACATTGCATTGTGTTGGTCTATCTGTTACATAAGGTCCCTGCAAAATACCTTGAATATTTTAGTTGTGACCTGACAAAATGTGAAAAACTCCATGGGTTATAAATACTTTTGCAAGTCGTAACTGTCCCCAGCATTTTAGTATTAATTGTTAAACCTGGCATGTAAATTATTGCTTGCACGCATTTTCACCCATAGACATTTAATTCTCCAAAGAGGCTTTAAACTCTTTAGACGACTCATTTAACTTGTCGGCAGCTCGGTAATTTTCTGCTTCATCAGCAAGAAGAGGTAACCTGCTTTTTTCATATAACAGGAAGTTGCAGCCCGATGACCTAAACAAAGAAAAAGTTGAGAAATTTATTCAGAGCCGGATTTAAAACGTCTTTCATCAAGACAGCTGGCCGCATTAAAAATAAATAAATAAATTAAAGACTACAAAAAAGGTAATAAAGTAAAAAATATGTTGGTGTTTAGAAGCTGTCAGAGTGCTAAGTGGATCAGCGGTTGCACCATGTGCAGAGGTTTCAGAGTTGAGCTGACCTGGGTCGGCCTTCCGGCCTGGCGACATTTACTGTATGTCGTCCCCTAATCTAGTTCTCGGCCCTCTTTCCTGTCAATCTAGTAAAGAATAAAACCACAAAAAAAGAAAAAAGCAACAAAAACAAAAAAGCATTTTAAAAGTGCTGCGAAGACACATAGAAGCATAAAATCACACATTTAAAGAATATATGCTGACAGGCGAAACACCAAAACTGAGATTTTTAACATGCAGTGAAATCTAATGTTAAAAAATTATATACGTTTAAAAGTATTTAGCAAAACATTATGTAAAATATTCAATAAAAACTACTTGAAGTTTATGAACAATATCTGTTATTCACAAATAATATGCTCACCACATCTGTTCTCATAAAATCATTGAAAAGGGTTCAAGTTATTGCTTTACCCCTGGTTTATTGTAATCCTAAGCAAAATGAGCTGTGATTCTGTTTTACTGTTGTTCCAATGTTTGCAGAAGTTAATGTTTAACTGACAGCAGAGGGAGTTTATCAACCTCCACTTCTTCTTCTGCTGCTGTTTTATGATTTACCATGTTTTCCATTGTGGTCTACCTTGACTCAGTCAATGACTCTTATGTGGGGTTGCACATTAAAAAAAGAAAAAAAAGAAAAAGCTACAGTTTTCTTTTCTGAGAGCAAAAGTGATATTACGTGAGTTACGTGGGTCCTGGATTTTCCCAGGTTGAGTATGCCAGACTGGTTCGTGGAAATTTTATGTCAGTGATTTTTTAATTAAAATTTAACCTTGTTTTGAATTAACAGCTTCAAAAAAAAAAAAAAAAACATTTGTAAATTTAATTTGAATGTGCTCTACAACATAACAGAAATGACAAGATCATTACAACATCACTGGTAGAACCTGCTGCTGATGTAGACTGGAGATGAATATTATCTTATTCACTCTGTAAAATCATAATCCTACTAATATTAATAAATGCCACGAACCATGATGTGAGGTTGAAAGGAAACCTCACATTTTTATTGAAAAGTGATGGTTAAAAAAGCAGTATAGTTAAATCACGCTCTTCTGGAGTCTGATTGTTGCCAAAATAATTTAGAGCTTTTAATGTCATGGTTATACCTACAGTTTCAAGTATAATCTAGTTATATTTTATAAATTAGACTGTGTTCTGATGAGGGTTGGTTGTCAGAATAAAAGGATCTTTTGAAAATAATCTTTTCATTTAGTCCACATTTCTTTATTAAAAATGTTGTTTATTGGTCGGCTGTAATAGTCTAACCTTAAGTGTTTTGTTTTTTTCATTATCTGTAAGCAGAAAACCAAACTAAATGAACAAGAGTTTGTGAGTAATTAATCTATATAATGTATTTCATTCAATGAATTGAGTTTCTGAAATCAATTAACTTTCCAACAATGCTTCAATCAGCTGAATGGGTTTGTTTATAAACTGCTAATATGCGGCATAATTCTGGCTTAATCTAAATTCATCTCAGTTTGTTGGCTTCCAGTAACAAGCTTAACATTTATTGAAAAACCACACATTTTAAATAAAACTGAAGTCAAGAAGCCTAATGTTAGCCTGACTCGTCCATCTGAAAAACAGTTTTGTGTGCTTGGGGTCTATGTCGTGTTGGAACAATCAAGTGTGTCTGTGTTTCAACAATCGAGTTGTTGATTTGAAATGAAGTTGATTTTTAATAATTACAGGGGTAAAATATCCAGCTGCAATTATAACAGACGTCTGATAGTGGCTACAAAAGGTGTGTGGTTTGTCTGAAGCTCTGTAAGGGATATTTATGTGAATATTAGTGGAGTGGTGAGTATTTGAGTCTACATAAATAATCTTTACCCAGTTTGCATTAATGAAAATCCACAATAAAATTAAACTTGTTCATGCAGATCTCCTAAAAATCTCACAAAAGGTGTCAACTACATAAATAACCCATCCAGGAAAAAGAAAAGTTCAAACTCATCATTAAAAGACCAATATTATTAAAATTATAACCATCATTTATAACGATGCATGTAAACGTCTGACCGGTTTTTGTGTCTTGCATCACATAGCTGCAGAACAGGTTGGACCTAAAACCTGTTCTGCAGAGAGAAAATGAAGAGCATGGGGGGAAAAAAACAACACATCAACCAGCACAAAACATTAATTTGATCTTAGATTTTCATTCACTAATTACAAATAAATCACCCAGCATATAAATAAACGGAACTGAGTTCAAGCTGATATCAGCATTGATACAACAGCTTTGAATATCCGCATGAAAAGCCGGTTCTGTTGTGTGCTTTTAAAGAACAGATTACCTGTAACTTCCTCTAGATTGCATCACATTCAGGGCTTTCATAGTTGAACTCGTTTTCAGCTCCCGTGACATTACTCACAACTCAAAACTCCCAGAGGTGGAACTTCCTGACAGGTAAAAAACTGACGAGGAAGTTTTACATTTACACGCTGCTGAGATGTGCTGCTGATTGGCTGCTGCTGTACAACAGATTATCCCACGTGGGAAAATAAAGAACTGAACTGAACCTTTTAAAGGACCAAAGAGGTTTTTTTTTTCTATTATCCAATGTCATTTGGATTAAGATTTTTTATGAACTCCACAGACAGATGATTCTTTCCAAAGCAAATCTTTATTTTGTGTAAAAATGAATACAAAATTAATATAAAGAGCATAATATATAATATATAATATGTACAGTGCTCTTACAACTGAGCCACTATGAGCATTGCTTTTACAGCATTACAGTATCAGCTTTGCTTTTTTAAGCTGGTGTTCACAAAGCAGCAAAGCCTTTTCTGTTTGTGGATAGCAGGCGAAGCGAATATTGTAAACAGGTTTGCAGTAGCTGGCCTCGGCATCCTCTGCAGGTTATTCCAATGGAACCTTTGTTGCTTGTTCTTTCTACTTGGAGACAGACATTTTCTTTGCCAAACTTCTGCAATTGCATCAGAAAAAGATATATTAAACATCTTCATTTTTTGTTGTAAAATTTTAGGTCTTTTTTTTAGCAATAAAATTACTCACTCTATTCGGCTCACATAGTCCATCACCCATTTAAGAGTTGGGTCAGCACATCTTTTTCCGGTCTTTGTGTGGAAGCTGCAATTGAAAAGGAATCATAGTTAATAAAATGTGCATATATAATCATAATGGTAAGTAAATAAATACATAAAGTGAATTTTGAATCTATGTAATAAAAAAAGTAATCACTTACATGATGGCTGTGATCGGACATAATTCTGTGCTTTTCTGCAGTGAGAAGCCCTTGATCTCTGAGAATGGTATTTTCCAAGGTATGTATCTTCTACAGCAAAAAATATAAGCTGCCAGGAAAGATAAGAGATGAGTAAGGCATAAGTATCTGTGTCCGTCATTTATGTTTGTATAATCAAGAAAACAAGAACATAAAAAAAGACAAGCTCGAGAGAAGAAATCTGAAAGCAAATGCTTACCTCCCTGTGTGTTTGTCGCCAGGGCACAAAGAGTAACCAGTGTCACCACCATCACTGTTACTTTCATTGACACCATAGTTTCAGTTTGCTGCCTGGAGCTGGTCTGGTCTGAAAGTGGTCTCTCCTTCCCTCTCTCGGGTTTCTGTGAGCTGCTGATCACTGAACTCTTTTATATACACCTCAGAGCAGGCTCTGCCCACTTGGCCAGTTGTGTCATAGCATGACCGAAATTCCCCAGAGTTTGCCCCAAACAAAGGCTGAATAAAGTTAACCTGGTCACGTGCTGAAGTAGTGAAGTGATAAATTTAGGTGTTAATCTAACCTGCTGTTGTTGTTGACATGTGCTGTCGGAATGAAAAAACACCCAACAACAATAAAACAGAGGTGAAAAAATAAACATTTGGTTGTAAAAATGTTATGCTTATAGCAAAAATTATAAAAGGTTTGCTTAATCCTTCACAATCATACAAATACATTTCATTACTTTGATTACAGTTTTTTGTCCATTCAATCAAATTCCTCATCTTACAAACAAACCATTAAGCTGATTTCATATATAGATCTCAGTAAGTGATACAGCAAGAGACACAAATGACTAAGTTTATAAGGAATGTGTGGGCATGTGGACATATTTTATGAAGGTTAGTGAGAGGAGAGGACAGGAAGATCTCAGGTGAAACACAGCAATCTCATGTTGCACGAGTTTTAAGTTACTCTTTACCAGCGGAATGGTGATTATTGGCTTGCAAATGCCAAGTTAAAAAAGTATGTATGGTCATCATGAAACAGCATAAAGATAAAAATGCTTCAACCTTTTAGTTGATCATAATTTTTATTAACTCAGTTAAACTCAAACATAGTTATTTGCTTGGAAGGCCTCCCCTCTATTACACTTGTCGGTTTGGCCATGAGTAACTATTAACGAAATGCCAGAGGCAATTATTAACAAAGTTAGTTATTCAGGTTGAAATGAACAAGTAGGAGCATCATCAGATGATCAGGAATAAATAGTCAAAGAAGCGATCAGTTTCAGTGAACTGATGTTTTATGAATGCCTCCCTGGTGAGGTGTGGTGTGTGGAACATCAGAGGAATAAAATAATTTGCACACTGGTATTCTCAAATAGCATGCTCTGCTAACAGAATAAACAACTTTTCTCACAGACGTAAGAATGTGCTAATAAAATACTTAAACTTCAAGTTAAAATACTTTAGTCGACAAACTCCTTAACTAGGCTAGTTTTAAACTCAGTAAAACGCAAAGAATAAGGAAAACTAATAAAGTACAAAAAGTAAAAACAAACAACAAAGGAAAAGACCAATAACCAATAAAACGATGCATTAAAATTACAGTTCAGTGAATCAATATGTATGTATGCGTAAAGCAGGCTTGATTATGTGACACAGAATTAAGATCTCAATTTACCAAAGAAACTATTGAGAAATCCTTTTAAGTTCTACATGCACTTTTAAGCAGCATTAATAATATCAATATACTGTCAGATTATGTGACTTTTTTCTCCATGACAACTTTATTTTTGGCCAGGCTGTGTATGTTTTTTTCAAAGAGGCAGTCTTTTATGCTGCCAGCGAGCGAAATGATTTCACGTGTGAGTGTCCCCAAAGGACCACCTGCAGCCTACGGGAAAACAGAGAGGGAGCACTCTGGAGCGCTGATGTTTTTATTCTTCTGTGAAACTCCTCCTTTCTGGGAACAGAGGATGAAAATGGGTTAATGCAGTGTATTCTGGCATTCAGAGTTTTTAGCCATCTCTTTTGTTCTCTGTCTTGTTCAATCCTTTCTATTCCTCCCACTGCCGGCTCCAACACTCTAATCTTACACAGTTTCTTTATCAGACTCAACACTTCAAACTGTAAATATTACTTCCTGTTAGAAGAAACATCGTGGAAACATCTTAAGTCTAAATCTTTTAGGAGTTTGAGTATTTTTGGATTTTAGTGTAAGTGAAGTGTAGTCAGAGGTGGAATAGAAGAAAAATGAAACTCGGAGAGAGGTGGAAGAGCGCGATAAGGCTCTGGTGAGGATTTCTAGAAAACAGAGGCAGAAGTTCAGAAATGTCAAAAAAAAAAAAAAAACCTCAGAGCATCAGAAATGATTCCCACACAACTGATGACTTCACAACCAGAGAAGACATGTTGCACCTCCTTGAGGTAGAAAAGTACCACAGCAGCAGAGGAAAAGGGAAAAAATGACTTACAGCCCACACTGCCACCTCAAGATTGGGACAGCTGACGTTAAAAGAAAGACGTTTATACGATCGAGAACAAATACGCTAGTAAAATGGAAATCAACTGTAGAAATTCTTAAAGTACGGGATCGAACATTTACGTTAATGGTTTTTGAGGTCAAAGGTGACATTAACTAATAGGTGTGAAACAGTTTACAAAGTTGTGTGTGTTAGGATATCCGTACTTTTCTAATGACCCTTATCATCGCTAAACTTGGGGATGTTGACATAGAAACAGTATTAAAGAGAAATGACGGGCTCATGTCTGTTATTTGAGAATAGTGCACGTCACTTATTTTATAAGTCATGAGAATATTTAGTAGAATTGTTTTTTCTTGCTTGAATAATGTGTTTAATGCATTTTATGCAGTAAAATGCAATAAACTGTCCCAGCGATAATAAACTAACTACTAAAACAGTTACGAACAGAAAGCTAAAATTCTTTTACTGTAAATTAGATAATTTAATTAATCTATAGTTCAATAAACTGATGAGTTAAAACACATTTAAAAAATAGAAAAGTTGCCATTTCTCACTATAAATATTGAATAGTGATGTCACATGAAAGATGACAGAAAAAAATCTGTAATATTTATGTAAAGCAAAATATCAAGGTTGATGACTCAGCTACATTTAATTACACTTTTAACAACATCTTAAATAGTATAACCACTTTGACTTCTCCCAAGACTTTAAGGGGCCTCAATGCCATTCAAATCTGTTGCAAATTCTAGTTGTTCATAATTTAATACAAGGTTAACATTTTGCATCTTTTGTCAGAGGAACAGCTTATTGGAGAGAAAAGGGTCATAAAGGACTCTCATGTAAGAACTGATAATCAAATTTGTGACTTAATTTGTGAGTTTTGTCGTATCAAATGCGTATTAAAAAGAAAAAAAAAGTAGCTGCAAGTCATCTCTTGCTTAAAGTAGCCCTTGGTTGGGGGCGCTTGTTGGTCTTTCCACCAGAATACTCCATTCTTGCATATAAAATAGAAGAAGCGACGCTAAATAAAACACAACCTAATACATGACATTTAGAGGTAAGTGGAAAACTGGAAGAAGAAAATCTGAGAAGACCTCCGTGCATAAGCCTTAAGTGGGTCGCTTGTTGTGGGTTGGTGTGGGGTTCCGTACAGATTCTTTTCTAGGTCAGAGGAACGTTTAAGCTTATACTCAAGACCCGCACATCAAACACAAAGTGCATTTAGTGCACTGAAATAGGTCACAATAACCTAAAACCTTCTGTCATCAACTTTCCACCCAAACCACAGCAGTCATTTAGGTACATCTGTTGCTTGTACGTTCCTTTGCTTTGTCATATCTATAGAGTCGCGATGTTATATAATGCACGTTGATATACTTTTATTTATAGAATTATTTAGAGTGAAGGGCTCCAATCTTGCTTCACAAGAAAAATGTGTATTTCTTTGTCTATACTGCATAAATGTTTGTTACTGACTACATAATACTGAAAGACATATTTTTAGAAAACAGTTTAAATGTATGATTTTATAAAACAGTTTTTCGACTCAACTCCTTTTGTTCATTCCAAAGCAAAACCACACGAAAAAAAAAAAAAAAAAACTAATATGAAGAGTAACTTGAAGGTAATTGGTCAAAAATAAAACTGAAGGTCTTCGTCTGTCTGATTCAAAAAGATCCCACGGTCACGTAAAATCTTGTGAGCATTTTCTTCATTCAGACTCGAGCGTTAAAAATCCTCTGATGTAGTTCATAACTGTCTTTAGCGGAAGGGGGTCTGAGCAGCTCAAAGCCTCACTTCCTTTCACTGATAATCATCTACCACATACAGTACTTGCTTAGACAAAGTCCTTCTAATGTTTGACGTTTTGCTGCGTCACAGCAGAGCAGAGCACGCGCCCTCATTATATTGAAGTAAATATTGTTATCTAGCAGTCAAGTGTGACTGACATCATTTGTTATTTTTTTGTTGTTGTTTGTTTTTTTTTTTTTTTAGCACAACCAGGTTTGAGTCATTTTAGCTGGGATTTTTCAGGAGGAACTCTGACTTATCCAACAGACAATAAAATATGACATTTGTCACCTGAAAGACGTAAGAACAGACGCTAACTTTCAGGTATTAACTTGCATGCTGGTTTCGATCCATAAAATAACCAAACAAAGAGCTGACAAAGACACAATTAACAGCGGGATTTATTGAAATAATAACTGGAATAACTTGCAGTGACATCAAACGAGCCCGGACAGACCAGAATTCCAGAAAATTCACACATGGATTCTTGTTATTTACTGCTGCTTATGCTTCTGACGTCAAAGAGCAAAAGCAAAACATGTTTGCTTCTACTTGTTGACAGATTGCAATCCATAGCATTGTAATCTGTCAACATTTAGATTACCATCTTATACTAAACACATATCTGTCCTTTACATGAGTTTTTAGCTTCAGATTAGGTCGATTTTGTTTTGGTTTAATCAGCTTTCACTGTGCATCTCCTGCTGGAACAAAATAAACTTTTCAATACTGTATTGCAGCTTCTTATCATCTTATCAGCGAGACACAATTAGTGTGGAGGACAAGAAATGAGGTTCATTAAATGAGAATAGGAAGAGTTTATAGATAAACAAAATGGCTGTCGCACATTGCAACATAATGCTGATGCTGCAAACAATAAGGTCAGCAGGATGTGTTATGAGGTTTGGGTTTGTACAATTTGTTTTATACTTTCAGGTCTCTCTTGAATCCTGAAGCGTGGAGGAAGAATTTACGCAACCGCTTGAAGAGCTTCATGTAAATTTCTGTACCCAGTGTTTGGTTAATATTTAGTAAAATGTTTGCATTAAAAATGTAATTTAACCCCACTGAAACTTTTTCTCATTACATAGTCAGTACTAGACTGTGGTGCAGTCATAACATTCAGTAGCAAATGAAATTACCGCATTCCATCGCTGAGCAAGGTGGAGCTAGCTTGATTGTTTTGCAGAGTGAATCGTTGATGCAAAATTCCTCACAGCTTCAAGTCAACTTGAAAAGAGATCAGTCATTTCAAGGTGATGAACTATTATTTTAATAAAATGTAAAACAAGGTTTGCAGCTCAAGTTGCTCCATCTACCTTTTGAAATATCAAATGGAGGAACTGAGTCATCAGTGTTATGTCAACTCCATGAACAGAGGAAATTAAATAGAACAATAAAATAATGTGTAAGTGTAATGTGTAATTGTCCTTTGGATATCAACAAAAGGTGCCAATCTGGGGCCTGAACGGGGGATTTTATGTTACAAAGTGGGTAAAGTACACGGAACGTTGTACTTCCCGGATGACCTAAATACATTGTTGCCTTGTGCTTTCCAGCTTGTTTTTTGGTATGTGGTTTGGACGGTTTCCTTCCGTTTCACAATGTATTTAAACTTCACAGCCAGAGGCAGACGTTATCTCGCAATCCCATCTGACAATCCACATCAGCTCTCTGATTTACCTCTGACTGAGAAGGATGGCAAAGCTGGCCGTGTGCGTCTCTGCTGTGCTGCTGCTGCTGGTGGCGCTCAGTGAAACCTGTAAGTGAGATTTTACAGCTGCTTTCTTTGTTTAGAATCATTGAAAAAGTCTGTGCTGTTCTTTTTGGGATAATATTATTTCTAATTTGTTAACTGAGATATGAAAAAATAGATTTTCTCTAACATGTCACTGTTTCTTTGTTGCAGCCTACCGTGGACCTTGCTGCACAAAAACTTATGACAAGCCAATTGCGTTAAAAAATCTGAGGAGTTTCACAGTTCAAAATGACACAGAGATCTGCAACATCAAGGCAATAATGTAAGAAAGAATTTGGTTACTTTGATGTGTGTAATAGGTGCTGCTACTGTGACTGTATAAATAATTATTTTCCTCTTTTATGATTACAGTTTCCTCACTGTGAAAGACAAACTTGTCTGCGCCAATCCTGAGAAGCCTTGGGTTATCAGGGCTATGAAGCATCTGGAAAAGTAAGTAGGTATCGTCACGTAGCAACTCCCAGCACTCCAGCATCACAATTTGTTCAAGATTTAACATTTACTAACAAAATTTTAATCCTCTACTTTTTTGTTTACCAGGGAACAACAAACTGGATCAGTGGAGGGTCTTCTGAGAAGATCAGCTTAAAGATATCAATCTAATTAATCAGAGTATTATATATTTGTGATTTGTGATGAGTATATATTTGTTTTCACTTTTGTACTCATTTATATTCAATAAAGTTTATATTTTGCTAAATGTTTTTGTCCATTGACGTATTTATTTAACAGGAGTTAGTTTTATTCAGATTCAGAAACAGCAGTTTTTATGATCAGTTGCAGTCAGCAGCAAAGTGGTCACAGAGGCAAGAAACTATGAAAAATATGGTAGAAGACTGTACAAATCTATTTAATTATAATATTCTCTGTATTTCACATGGCCACCAAAAGAGCACAGTGAGTCTACAGAACTATTATGACTTTGACACCTGGTGTAGTATTTAAAAATGTCGTCCTCAGAGAGACAAAAGCCATAAACTCTTTGTACTTCCTCATTGCTGAAATGTTCTGTGCAAATAAACTTCACGTGACTTATGTTTATGCGCACAGCTTGGAATTTTAAATAACATAATGAAAAATAAATGTATGACATAATTACAAAATAACAGATCAAAGCAGAAGAAACACTTGTCCAAACAACCTCTTTGAACATAACATTTATTAAACTAATATAGTAGGTAATGTCTATGCACACTGTAAAACATTTGGGCCGCGCTGAGTTGTGTCTACTATCTTTTACTCTTTAAGTCAAATAGCGAGTTTTAGATTTTGAACCTAAATGTGTGAGTTTGTGAAAGATAAACTTACAGTATTAAGTTGTGTTAACTTTTTATTAATTTTGTTAAACCTCCAAGAGTTGAATAAAGTGCTAAACTAGAGTTCTTAGTTTAGCACTTAGAAAAACTGAAACATGCCGCTAAGCAAAAACATGTGCTTAGCGGCACATGTTTGCGCCGTGAGTGACATGGAAGTACGTTACATTGATCTGCCTCTCATGTCATTAAGGCAAATGTTTATTTTAATGCAACTCAGTTTTGCAAAGCTGAAGGACAATGTCCTGCTCACACTAAATGCTTTTGAGCAGAATTCATTAACGCTTAATAAACTTAAGCACTTTTCCAAATAACTTCTTTCAACATAAAACTTATTAAATTAATATAGTAGGTAATGTTTATGCACACTGTAAAACATCTGAGCTGCACTGAGAATATAAATTTATAAGCAGTTATTTTAGCTTGATATTGAGTAAAAGTAATAGAGAAATGTGGGCTCTTAAACTAGGCGAGGGCAGTTTTTTCTTGCATATTGTGGAATAATTATTTGGTTTAAATTGCAGTATTAAAATGCACAGTTTAAGATTAATAAACTTTAAAACAATGTTTGGACAACTTCATGACCATTCATTTCTGAGTAAATATAACTGAATAAAAGTAACTACCTCTGGGAACATGGCATTATTTACTACAAATATTATATATAAAAATTCCCTTCTCGCCCTCTGTGGGTGGTCTCTTTCATCCTCTGAGCTCGGGTCCTCTA